GTACTACACTAAAACTTCGCTAGAATCATATATAAACATTTAGTTGTAACAACATTGTCTGTTCAATAAAAAGTAATTGGGTGAATTAAAGTTGGACAAAGAGAAAATTCTGAGCGGTGTACTAGAGAATAAAACATGACGTGAGGAAAGGGCTGTCGTTTCACTTAAGGTGTCCACGGAGAAATTTTTCTAATAAAACCGCGGTTATCTCACCGAGGTACCGACGAACCGCGATTTCCTGGATCCAAACTGCGGTTTGAAAAACCTATGAAAACTACGATTTTGAGAAGCCGCGTTTTGATCGAAACGAGATGCGGTGATGGCACCGACGAAAACCGCGGTTTCAAAGGGATGCGATTTAATGAGAATGAACCGCGGTATCTGAAACCATGCTTTTTACGATTTTATATACCGCCGTAAACTCGATCTAAACCGCGGTTTGTGGATACCACTCAGCGTAGCAGTTTCTTAAACCAAGATGTTTACTATTTAAACTTCAATTTATCTTCATCAAGGCTGTTCGATGATGCTACGTTTTCCACCTGACTGGACAGTGCGGTTTGTATCAGCAAACCGCGATACCAGAGACCGCATTCTTATCTGTTTTTTAAAAGTGCGATTTATGCTGACGGTTTTGACCATAAGCATTCAGGCTTGAATGCGATATAAAAAAGGTATGCTGGTGTGTGTATTGAGAGCAAAACTTGCGAACAAATTTTTGCGGTCATTTGCAGAAACGTTATCGCATACTTATAAAAGAAAACTAATGTTTTGTTGCTTATTACATAATTAGCATTTTTCACATTGAACTTGAAATATCAGTTAAGTTGTCTACAGTGAAACACTTTAACACACATTTGCACAATCGACTGGTGAGTGAAAACTAACGATTTATGGCGTACCACGATGGGAAAAGGAAGAATACCCCGCCTTGCGGCTACCGTTACCGGTGTGTTGCTGTGGCAGTTTCAATAGTTCGGTATGTTCCCTGCAGTTAACAAGCTTCTGAAATGGCAGCATCTTTTTACTAGTCATCAATTGCAGCTCGGACCAGAAGGCTAGCCTGATGCACAGTTCTTTCGGCCAATTACTTGAGCGATACACACTTCACTAACTACGTACTAGTTTTCCGGAAAGCTATGCGGACTAGCCTTAGAAGCTGTATTGTATGTCACAACGTAGTAAGTATGCTGTTGCGAGGCGTTAAGACATAAATAACTTGCCCAAACTTTGTCTGATTAATCAAATGGGTGAATGGGTGCAGTGGTGATAGAATAGGCTGTGGCGCACAATGAAAACTAAATTAAGTAATTGCCGTTTTTTGATTCTATTTGAATGGAATAAAATCCAAACAAATGACCTGTTACCAATTTTTCATAGCCCAATTAGTCAATAAATTGAACACTTTTATTTCCAAGGATATCACAAGTGCAGTCCTTCAAGAAGCAACGATTTATTGACGTTCATTTCTTTAACAATTTCGGTATGACCAAGATATATATAGCTGATCGATATGAAATGAATAAGTTGAGTTTTTATCAGTAGTACTACATTGACTGAAAATATAATCATGTGGGGACCAAAAGATTAGTGTTTGTGATAATAAATATTTTCCTGATTGTTTGTGTATTCTAACATATTCGTATTTATTATGTTACTATTGTTTTTGTTTGTTGTTATTTTTTCTCTTCCTTCACTCAACAATCAGTTTAATCCAATAAGTGATTATGATACTTATGGTACAAGATTAGCAATTAATGATAATTTTATGGTTTTAGCTCAAAATAATTATTCAACTTTTTCGACTCTATTTTTTCCATATTATCAAAATGGTTCTATATACTCTTCAAATTTCTGTAGTGTTTTCTGTAACAATAATTCCGATTATGTATATAGCGTTATCATAAAAAATAATATTAGTAGTAAATTTTACTATTTTGTTCAATCTGGCGAAAATCTTGTAAGCGGATATCCATTTGTAGGCATAGTAGACATTGATCTGTTATGTCATGTGACTTATTTGGATATGAAATATTTGACTAACTATACTCATCAAGAATATTATGTTATAGATATAGATCCATCAAGATCATTGCCTATGGATTATCGATTGATTTTATTTTTATTTATAATCTTCAAACTCCTCCATATCAAATTCAATAATAGTTACCTTCTATACTATGAAATACATCAATAATACCATATGCTATAGATGTTAATGATAAATTTGCAATTGTTACTGGTTGGTTTTATGATATTATTTATCAGTCATATGTTCCTATTGCCTTTCTTATTTATTTGTTGGATTTTACAGTGGTAGATAATATCACGTTAATCGATAATCGAGTATTAGACCGACAGTCTGTATCCATCTATACATTAATCATGGATATGTCAATTACCATTAATAATGATAATAATCAAGTTTTAATTGGCATTCTAAAATACGACACGGTTCTACTTTTGTCATTTAATAGTGACAATTTAACATTAATAAAAATATTTTCTCTGTCTAGTAGTAACATTTATTATGGTAAATCAGTGGCTTGGATAGACAATATTTCTGTCTGGTATAGAATAATCATTTAGCACAAATAGCGTCAGATTCTACAACATGAAATTCTGCATCTTTTGACATTAAAATAATTATCTGTAAGTTGAACTGAGCGATCAGCAACGCTTCGCCAAAGAAGTTAAGTTTATTATGTGCGAATTCACATATTTTAATACCGTGAACGAAAATAATTCCAAAACAAAATCAACAATTCTCTATCATTTAAGCTAAATATTAAATTTTTAAACGCAAGTCAATATAGATAAAAAATTATTAGAAAAGTGGCTTCAGGACTTCTGCACCACCCATTATATATATATGAGTGATTCTGGTGCTCTTAGACCGTTTTTAAATGACCTAAAATGCAAGTGTCCAGAAAATTGTTTTAACACTGTATGTTTATAGGGGATACTTAAAAGTCTAGAAAAAACTCTGGTTCCAAACTGCCAAGTCCTCAACCCAAATCCTGATTGTTCATTTTTTGACTCAGGATAGAAAATGCGATTTTCTCTGCTTTTCAGCTAAAGAAGCATAACTGAGCTTAAAAACGTGTTGAAACATAGGTTTTCACGAATAATTAAGCTTTATACTGTGCGATATATTTCATTCTTCTGCCATTACTATGAAAATCGAACTAAATGTCAAAACCATCTGAGAAATACTCAGGTCTTCTTGGCCCTCTGCAGGACTCACCATCATTCTCCACACTCTTAACCGTATCACAAGGTATTCAACCGTACAAACTTTATACAGCAAAATACAAATGTGTACCCTGTACCATGGTAACCGTAGCCAACAATCAAAACTCCATCCTACACCAGAACACGTTAGCAACGAGAACAAGAGCAGCAGGAGGAGCTTCAATTATACTCGCGAGACAACGGTCACCGACAACAGCAGAGAGACACACATTACACTTGACAAGGTTCGCAACTGCTGCTCAAAAAAACTGAGGAGAGAAGTTGGCGCTGCGAACAGATCTTTGATATTTCTTTCTCTTTTTCTGTAGTATTCTGAATTATCTGATTGATAATTACAAAGTTGATCCAAACACATTCCTATCCACTTTGGTTCAGAGAAAGAGCAAACGAGTACGTCGGATGTTTACATTGATCTCGGAAACTATGTGAGTCTCTGCATCAATGGCGGTTATCTGGTTTGTAGATAACGAGCCGAACTTGCTAGTAAAATAAAGCTAGCTTTTCGTGTTTTCGTAATTGATATTTGTTCAATTCCAGTGGCTTGTGGCATACAATCTATCTCTTTCCCTTTTGACCCTCTCCTGACCGAACTACATAGTTACTCATTGTTTTACCATGTATGCCAAATGGGTAGCACAAGCTATCCTGTAAATATCAAGGCTTCAGCTTATTTGTAAGGAAGAAAATTTGGAAAATATAACAAAATGTCTCAGCGCTAATTTTTGTCCTACCCTCAAACTTATCTCTAGAATTGTGATGGCTAGCACATAAAGCCTCAGATTTAATGATTATACGTATTTTGACTCCCTGAATCGAATGACTGGCTCATTTTTCTGAAAATCAACTCAGCAAAGCATTTATGGAAAACCTAGATTTCTAGAGACCCAAGCTTAGAAATTCTCAAAAACCATTTTTTAAGGATGTTAGTTGATAGAGCATATGTGAAAACCTATGTAACTTTTAGTGTATGAGCTAAATATGTGTACGAATAATTAGCTTTTAACAGCAGCTTGATATTCGGAAGAAAAGTGTGCACCTCGACTGGGAATCGAACCCAGGACAGTGGTAGTCACGACCATTGCTCTGACCGCTGAGCTATCGAGGCACAACCTTGGATACACACATCTTCTTCCTTATGATTACACTATTAAATAGTGATGAGGATTTTTACTATACGCAAACTAATTTTATCGCAAAGCACGCCAGGAAGTGAGAACACACCAGGACCATACAAGACCGAATCGCACTTTATATGTTACCGGCTTTCTTAGAATAGCGAACGGACATATTTTTAGTAGCGAAGCCATGAAAGTTTTACGTAAAATCCTATTATATTTCATTGAAAGCTCGTAATACTGCCTTAGATGATACAAATGTAACTTTTAGTGTATGAGCTACATATGTGTACGAAACAAAAAAAAGAATTTTCGCAAAACAAATTATCATTATCGACGACTAATATTGAAACAGAAATAACACCTACAAAAACCAAAAAAATCATCACGACAACAACCATAGCATCACCGGAGGTCGATGAAAAGGAGTTTGAAGAGAGAGATGACGAAGAAGGAGAGGAGACGAGTGATGACGACGAGGATACATTAGATCACAGCAGGTTGACTGTTGCCGATCTCAGCTCAACAAGTCCAAGATACGATAAAAGAGAGTAAAGCTCTTGTCGAATATTCCAAAAAAGTCCGTAAAGAGAAGCCGAAATGCTGACAAAGTCTAACTTTTTCGGTTGCGTTTTTAGGTTAACTTGAACCAACAAATACGTTTATGTAAAGAAAAACAAAGTCGAGATGGAAATGTGGATAATAACGATTGATCGTCCTCATGCTCAACACTTCATCAATGCTCGGAAACACGATGGTTATCCTTGTCTGATCTCCTTGAAAGTGTTCAGAAATCATACAAAGTTTTGGAAATTGAACGTCAAATGAAACAAATAGAACGATTAGAAAAGGTTAACATTGTTATAGTTGGTCAACTGATTGATTTTTTAAAGTCATGGAAATATGTATTGAAAGAAGTTCAGAAAGGAAATTCTCCGTCTTTATTTATGGTGCTCCCATGTATTGGTTATTTGCGTGAAGATTTGATTCACCGTGAAAAATCTGAAAGAGGAGGTAAAGTATCTGTTACTTATTTTTATATTGACAATGACTCCGTTTTTTTGCCTTTAGCAATGAAACTTTTTGCCAAGAGGGCCTTGTCATTAATGAATATAATGTTTAATATGAATGATGAATATATTATGGCAGCTTTCCTCCACCCAAATTATAAACAACTACGACATGCAACACCGGCACAAATAACAGATTGTTATGAGACATGCCGTTTGTTTGCACCATCGAATGTCACGTCGCAAAATGAAGAAGTGTTAGAGCCACTTGACAAAAAACAAAAAATATTTTTAGCCACATTGATGGATCGAAAAATAACGAAAAAGAAAGATAAAGTCAAAGATGAAGTTCAACAATATATTGAGATGAAATTGACCGATGATCAACAATATCTGAATCCATTATCATTTTGGAAAGAAAAGCAAAATCAAAAATTCTTTCCAAATTTGGCTCGTTTAGCAAAACGATATTTTTCAATTCCTTGTAGCTCAGCTGCGGTTGAACGAGAATTCAGCGCCGCTGGTCAAATTGTTAATCAACGTCGCTCAAGCTTAGATCCATCGAGTCAACAACATATTATTTTTACGTTCGATCAAAAATAATAAATGGAAAGACTAATCATGCGAACAAGACATTTCTTGTTTATATTTTTCTTGTTTGTTTTGTTTTATTTCATGTTTCAAAGTTTTACCCAAATAAATTACATGTTCTCCTCAAGTGTTCCAACTCGAGGCAAGATATCTTAAACAAACGTTTGGAAACAAAAGAGAAGCAAACTTTATGGAGAGGGGCTAAGAAATAAATTTTGACGTAATTTTTCCACAGTACCCAACGTCACTCAAGCTTAGATTCATCGAGTCAACAACATATTCATCTTGTTTGTTTTGTTTTATTTCATGTTTCAAAGTAGTAGTCACATAAATGATATGTTCTCCTCAAGTGTTCCAACTCGAGCTAATATATCTTAAGCAAACGTTTGGAAATAAAAGAGAAGCAAGCTTTACTTTTCATTGAACTGGCCCGAATCGAATCGAACCGATTCAGAATTTGAAAATGTTATGCCGAATCGAATCGAACCGAATCAGGAAATCCTGATTCGTTTCGGGCTCTGATAGTCTGTTCATGTTGCAATGTCCCGTACATGTATATAACATACATTAAGACTGTTGTCTGTGTAGAGTGATGTCACGTTTCTTTCTTTTCCTTAGTGTGTACGAATGTTATATAACATTCGTACACACTAAGGAAAAGAAAGAAACATGACATCACTCTACACAGACAACAGTCTTAATGTATGTTATATACATGTACGGTATATTGCAACATGAGCACACACTATATATATAACGTTTGCATACACCGAGTAAACGTTCTCAGTTTTGTGAAGTTTTTTACTCAGCATCCTCGGACTCTGGTGTTTTCACCTTCTCATGTGGCGAAAATAAGAAATCCTCATCGCATTAGAAGGCACTAACCGCTTAACCGACTAAGACGAGAGAAATTTGCTGATTCAGACAAGAATGAATTCAAGAATGTCATGATGGTAGCTGTCGCTGCTGCTGGTAAAAATCTTGGAAATTAGTCGACTTCTTTCTTCTTTTCATTGAGTTACCTGCTGATGATGACGAGACACATTCGGTTGTGTACGAAGGAATATAGTAGATCGTAACTAAAAACGTGAGAGATTTGTTTTCTCTGGACTTCGTCGCCGGTCGTACTTATATTTTGAGAATGTCACGAGCAATGTCCACATTTATCCTTATGTCACTTTGTTATAGATATTGAATCTAGCCCAGAAGAAAAGTATTCTAGAAACTCCAAAATTTATTTGTGTCATGTGTTTAGCTTAGAATAAATCATTATGCTTTCGTTAAAACTTTGGAAATAGTGAAGTCTGTCAATAACTGTTAATGGAAGAAACCTTTTTCGAAGTAGATTTATCTGTCACGTGTAGTCACAAAAATAATCACTTAGGTACCAAAAGACAGACCCAGCTCTCCAACCTCTACTAAACCTGTGCAATAGGTAGAATAGTAAAGTTTAGTTTTTGTTATACGAAAGAGCAAATTTAATTTGAGTTTTCTGAGGAAAATAAACCTAAAAAAAACCTAAAAATACATATTTTTTTTGTATGTAATGGATTGGATATGAATTCTGTGATATCATTTGTATTTTAGTTTCTTTGCAGTTTTTGTGAGTATGCCCAATTAAATAAGTCATAGACTCATAATGAGAGCAATGCTGTTAGACAACGACTAAGGGAGTTTTTGACGGAGTTAACTATTTCGAAAGTTTTAGAAAAAAGTCTAATGATTTGTTCTAAACTATACGAGATTCTGCATCTTCGAAGGGTAAATATATTTTTGATGAACAAATATTTTTAGATACAAACGATCACCAAGAACGACGAAAGAAAGCGGTACTTTTGATCATCAAGTTTTTGAGCGTTATTCTCACATTTTTATTTCTCAACAAAGCATAATGTACAAACTAAACAACATAAAGCTGTGCAAATTTTCATCGGATGCTATTTTGCTGTTTGTTTGCCTAATGGCTGAATATGTGTTTTATCGCTAACTTGATACAAGTTAAATAAAATTAGATAGATTATTTGTTCGATATTGATAAATACCATGTGATTTAGCAACAGTTTTAATATCAAAATTTGGAGGTGGTGCAGTGAAGAAAATAGATTTAAGTAAGAAATATAGCACTGCGACAAAATGCATGTTCAAGTTATCACTTAAAACACTACTCGAGCTTTCGACCTTTATTCAAGGGTCATC